ATAAACGCAATGAATGAGGGAACTCTGTGTGCCCAAATGAAGACACCACGTGCTCAGGCTATTTGTTGTGTACCCTGAGCCATCTCTTCCTTCCGCACTGCCAGGATAGCCCACGGTTCTGTTGATTGGATAGCAGGAAAAAAAAAATAATATGGCTCTGTTTCAGGTATTCCATGTTAGAGGACGGATCTCTACACATCCACGCAGCACATGTTACGGACACAGGAAGATACGTGTGTATGGCAACCAATACAGCTGGCACCGAACGCAAACGGATTGATCTGCAGGTTCTTGGTAAAAGTTTTGGGTTTAGATAAATATATGTGTTTTTACAAGACTGAAGTCCAGTTATATCATTTTTCGTGTTCTGCCAGATCCAATTTTAAGTTTAGGCTCTTTTTAGCGGCTCTGGTTTAAAAAAATAAAAAGGGAAGAAATTTACAGCCTTAAGAATACAACCCAAATGTTCATGAAAAGAAAATATTTATTTATTGTGCACTGGAACTAGAAAGACTTGACGTATCCCTTGCTCTGTGTTTAGTAAGTTTACTACTGTCAAGTTAGTCTTTATAAAAATCAAGTAAATGTGTTGAGGCAGTTCAGCTCTATATATAGGTACGAGAGGGGCGTGTGGACATACGTACATAATGATTCTGAATAATTAGGCTTTGTTTGTCCTTAGTTCCTCCAACTATTGCTCCTGGACATACGAACATTACGGTTACTGTAAATGTGCAGACCACTTTGCCCTGTGAAACCACTGGAATTCCCAGACCAGCAATTAGCTGGAAAAAGAATGGGCATCTGCTCAGTGTTGACCAGAACCAGAATACCTACAGGTGAGAGATGTTAGCTTTTCACCGTGGGTTTAAAGTTTCCAGGGGATGATTTTGGCACTTTAAAAATCTAGCCATGCTTAAATGTAATCTTATATAGCCAGCAAATTCAGTGGTCTGATTACCTGAGAAGAAAAGAAGTATCTCAATGGCTTTTACTTTCTTCTCTTTTCTTTGTTCAGACTTCTGTCTTCAGGTTCCTTAGTAATCATTTCTCCCACTGTGGATGACACTGCTGTCTACGAGTGCTCTGTGTCAAACGATGCCGGAGAAGATCAAAGAGCAGTTGAGCTCACTGTTCAAGGTAGACGGGATATTGCTATTACATCTGTACGGCACCCAGAATTAATTTGGGGCGTTCCGATGTTGAGATGAGATTTTTATATCATTCTTTTGTGATACCGATACCCATAAGTCTCCGGTATTCCCAAGAAAGATAAGTTGTTGCCAAGAATTCATACAAATGAAAATGGGCAAGTAACCTTTACACTGATCTTCGTTTTTAGTGCCCCCATCCATAGCAGATGAAGCCACAGACCTTTTGGTAACAAAGCTGTCTCCAGTAGTAATCTCCTGCGCCGCGGCAGGGGTTCCTGTCCCCTCGGTTCATTGGACCAGAAATGGCATCAAGCTGCTTCCCAGAGGAGATGGCTACAGAATTCTCTCTTCAGGTACTGTGCGTGACCGGAGCTCAGCCACAGAAAATCAGTGGAAGGGTGTGATTGTGCGCACCCAGAGCTAGATAATGAAATAAATGCAAACAGCCCCCCCAACCACCCCTCTCCAATTTCTTAGAATAAAAATACAGACCTCTTGAGGTGGCGGCTGTAAGCGAGTTGTGCTGCGAATAGAGGACACTGCTGTATGCTCTCATGCGCTCTCTCTGTGCTGCAGGGGCTGTTGAAATACCTGCCGCTCAGTTAGCCCACGCGGGACGCTACACCTGCGTGGCCCGGAACGCGGCCGGCTCGGCTCACAGACACGCCACTCTTCACGTTCAGGGTAAGAGGGGAAGGTGAAGAGACAGCGCGTTCTGTCAGTAAGCGTTGCCCATTTAATACGTTCGTATGCTGCGGAGTAACGGCGAGGCTGGAGTGGACCCTCACAAGTATGAATTGTCTTGTGGATGCCCTGATTATTCACAAAGTCACTACTCCGCACGTTACTCTGATACCTTGGATACCCCCAGTCTCTGCTGCTCTATTTTATTTTTGTAAGATTTTTGTTTCTTTGCTTTTTGGTAAGTTAAGATGTATTTGTGATGGCAAATGGCACAGAGTAAGGTCATATTCTATACCCCTACTCATGCTGAGCGTGTCCGTTATATTTAAGAGCACTTCCATGGAGCTCTCCGTAAGGATGGCAGAATACAGCCTTTGCTAATTCCGCCTTCGCAGACTCTCAGGTTACGCGACTTTAGTATCTTCTGTATTTTCCTAGCCTTGAAGGTTAAACCTATTGCATTTTCCTTTTTATTTCGTTCCACAGAACCACCAGCTATCCAAACTCAGCCAGGGGCGCTGGACGTCATTGTGAACAATCCCATCCTACTACCGTGTGAAGCGACGGGTACACCTCGACCCATAATAACGTGGCAAAAGGAGGGCATCAATATAATCACAACAGGTACCCTCTTAACGCCCGTTGCTCCAGCCTACTTGCTGTAACTCAGAAACTTGTTTTCTCTTTTCTGAATATTCAGACTTAGATAGAAGGAACCCATTCATTTAAAACCAAAACAAACACAACACACACACACACACACACACACAAAAGTGTCATATTTTGCTTATATTTGTTTTAGGCAACAGTTACATGGTTCTTCCCAGTGGCAGTTTACAGATTGCAAAATCAACTCTTGAAGATGCTGGCACCTACATGTGTGTTGCTCAAAATCCCGCTGGCACTGCTCTGGGGAAGATCAAACTGAAAGTTCAAGGTAAATCATCTTTTAGACTCTTGTTGCAGTGATTTACAGACAGGAGATTTGTGCGCGCTCTCTGTTAGTCAAAACCCAATTCTGAGCAACAGAAACATCCCAACGCTTTCCTGTTTGATGTGACGCTGAATAGAGCCCAGGAGGTTTATTCCTTTTAGTGCTCTGTCTACTTTAGGATCAAAGTGTGCTTCTAGGATTATTTTCACTAAGAACCGAACCGTTCCATGCTTCCCACAACATCTAATTCTTTTTAAAATGGTCTTAATTCTTTCCAGTTCCTCCCGTTATCAAGTCCCACCTGAAGGAATACGTTGTTCCTGTTGATCAGTCTGTCACGCTGCAGTGTGAGGCTGAAGGCTCCCCTGGGCCGGAGATCAGCTGGCATAAAGACGGACAGCAAATAACGGAGTCCGTCAGAAGAAGAATTCTTAGCAGCGGTGCGCTGCAGATCGTGTTCGTGCAGCCTGGCGACACGGGCCGTTACACGTGCGTGGCGGCAAACCTGGCAGGGTCCAGCAGTTCTAGCATGGAGCTCACTGTGCACGGTGAGTGGGACTGCACGGAAACAGCGTGCGTTACCGCAGCGTGAACCTGCGGAGCAGGGCAAGGAGCTAACGTGTAAGGGAGAAGGTCAGGAAAGTTGTGCTACTTCATGTGTGAGCTGTATTGAGTTGTAGTATCAGCCAGTTGCTTGAATTTAGGAAGAACATTACATTCCCTTTTTACACGTTACATTTACTTTGTTAGAAGTGTTTCACGCATTTCTCTGGCGTGCTTAACGGTGGTCATTGATGGAGAGAAGAAACAATACAGAACTTCCAGGCAATGGTTTCTTCAGTGCAGCATTGTATGCTTCTGCTGTAGGGCTTGGATAACGCAGCGAGGTCAATCTTTTTAATAAACCTTCTCACAGTTCCACCCAAGATTCACAGTACGGAGACGCAGTACACAGTCACGGAGGACTCCCAGGCTGTTCTGTCCTGCGCTGCTGAGGGGATTCCAACACCAACAATAAACTGGAAGAAGGACGATACGCTCTTAACAGAGATAGTAGGAAAATACCGGGCTGTGCCAGATGGAGACCTCATTTTGGACAATGTTGTTGTAAGTCCTTAAATCTAAGCTATGACTTGACAGGTCTGGCAGTAATAAGACCCTGCTTCTCTTCGTTTTCACCCACTTCTGCGTTAGCCTTTGTTTTGTCTTGTTTTCTCATTCTTAATGTTCCACAGTCTTTCTAAGTGTTTCATTTTCCACTGAAGAGTAAAATACCTGTGAAAAATTTGTAGTGATAAATCCTCAGGAAGGGCAAAAAGACGTGTAGGTCATCTTTCAAATTTAGAGGAAGTGAAAGAGTTCAGATGAGCATTTCTACTGAATGCTTGTTCCAAACCTTTTGAGATTCTCTTATTGCTACGAGTGGTATTGTTGTGTAGGATATATCACAGCGGAAATTTCCCCGACGTGCTTCCTTTCAGCCTGAAGATTCTGGCAGTTACACCTGCATTGCTAACAACGCTGCTGGAGAAGACACCCACACCGTCACCCTGACAGTTCATGTCCTGCCAGCTTTTACTGAACTGCCTGGAGATATAGCTTTGACTAAAGGAGAACAGCTCAGGTTAACGTGCAAAGCATCTGGGATACCTGTACCCAAAATAACGTGGACCTTTAACAATAACATCATTCCAGGTGGGTAATGCCGGGTCTTACCAGACATTCTGCTCTACAGTTCTTTTTCCTCCACACAGCATTGCAATTAGTTTAGGATAAGGAGGAAAAAAAAGAAATCTAGAGAGAGCACATTTGTTAGGCAGTGCTTGTGTGAGGAATATCTTCAGTATAACGCAATCCTGCCATTAAATTGCCTCTGAGAAGCTGTAAGGAAGAAGATAGTTGAGAAATTGTTCCTGTTCTGTAGCCAGCGTAACACATTAAAAACATTCAGCGTGTGATATTTACTCAGCATCCAACAACTGATGCTGTTTCTTAAATATGAAGAAAACCTCGGCAGTTCATAGAATGCAGGTGCACAAAGCTCGAAATTAAGGGACAGCTGAAGTGAATACACACTTGTGGGCAAACGTCGTAGGAGTGACTTTTCTGTGCCTTTCTGAGGTGTCTCAGAAATGAAATGGCATGGTGCCACGGAGCTGTGCTGCTGAGTAGCGCTGTAATTCAAACAGCCTCACTGAGGTTGTGATGTATACGGTCACTGAGATGTATACGTTTCAAATTCATTGAAGTAACGCTTTCCTGTGTGTTCTCCCTTCAGCACAATACGATGACGTCAATGGACACAGTGAACTTGTTATCGAAAGAGTATCTAAAGATGACTCTGGTACCTACGTATGCACAGCAGAAAACACAGTTGGCTCAATCAAAGCTATAGGTTTTGTGTATGTCAAAGGTATGTAAAGTAACGGTGGCTGTGGTCACTGTCGGACAGTTTCACACAGCCGTCTGTTTTGATAGTAGAGTCACAGAATCCCACACTGGTTTGGGTTGGAAGGGACCTCACAGCCCATCCAGTGCCACCCCCTGCCATGGGCAGGGACACCCTCCACTAGCCCAGGTTGCCCAAAGCCCCATCCAACCTGGCCTTGAACACTGCCAGGGAGCCAGGGGCAGCCACAGCTTCTCTGGGCAACCTGTGCCAGGGCCTCAGCACCCTCACAGGGAAGGATTTCTGCCTCACATCCAAACCTCCCCTCCTTCAGTTTAAAACTGTTAACCCTAGTATTTGATACCTTGTGTATGGCTAAATGGAAAAAAATTGAAATAGGGTGACATTCACACTTCAGAAAGTCAGAGATGAATGATCCCTACAGCAGTTTCACGAAGAGCATTTTGTTTGGACTCTGCTATTTCTCTGCCATCACTTGTTTTTTCAGAGCCTCCAGTCTTCAAAGGGGATTACCACTCTAGCCGAATTGAGCCCTTGGGTGGCAACGCTATGTTGAATTGTGAAGTCAGGGGAGATCCACCTCCAACCATCCAGTGGAGTAAAAAAGGAGTTGGCGTTCCGATTAGCAACAGGATCCGACAGCTTAACAATGGTTCTCTTGCTATCTACGGCACCGTAGTGAGTCGCTGATCCGTTACGATGTATTTCTGCACTGTACTTGGTTAATGAGGCTAGACTGTTCATCCACTTTGGCTTTTACCTTTAACAAATGTTGGTTTAATTCATACTAAAATGAGACTCAAATGACTGTGACAAAAAAACCCCAGGAGGGCTATCATTCTCTTTAATTGTCAGAAGGACTGAATCTACATACTAATCGTCGGTGTGTGAAATCCTGGTCGTGCCCAATTAAACGGGACTTTTGCTTTTGACCTTAAAAGAGCCTGGGTTCTACAAAGGCAGCTCAGCTGAAAAGCGATTGCGTTCTCCCTGTGCAAATCTCTTAGCATCTAACTTCCTAATATGAATGGCAAGACCCTTTTTTGTTCCCCCCATAAACTCATGTCTGCGTTTTGAAATGGGGTTAAAAACAATAGCTCCCTTGAGTGCAAGCTAAAAAGAAAAATTAACCCTCAGCATTAAGAAGTCGAAGGAAATAAATAACGGAATGATAAAAATAATTCACAATATCAGCTTAATGCTAGTAAAAGCAAAACATTGAGATACCCTAGAATCTAACGGCATGCCTCTTAACGTCCAGCGCGTGCCACGTTGTGATGCAGAAAACTCACTTACATGTGCTCTGCCAACAGAAACCCTCATTACGTACATCTGAGTATTTGCTTTTTGTTCTTTAGAATGAAGATGCTGGTGACTACAAGTGCGTGGCTACCAATGATGCTGGTGTGGTGGAACGCAGTCTGACGCTGACTCTTCAGAGTAAGACTCAAAGCGATAAGTCTAGCGTCGCTAGGCTGGAGCGCTAACCTACCTGTGGATAGGTGTATGCAGCTCCCGCTGAAGTTTTGGAGGTTGATTCATCTCAGCTTTCCTCATTAATATTTAAGAGTCTAGTCTAAGCCGGGGGTTGAGGTCAAAGCAGAGAAGCATGTAGAGGGTGGTTCAGCCTCGTCTTAGAAACCAACTTAGAGTGGGGTGAATCACCCTCGGAAGGGGCCCGTATCTCTTAGTTGACTAGAGAGGATGGCTGTACAACTGGATTAAACTAGACTCTTAACTTTTAAACTAAGAAAGTTACGTGAGATGAATCCCAGCTTTCATTGCCAATATTTTATTTTTGGCACAAAGAATATTTTAGAATTATTTTTTCACTAGTGGTAAAATTTCTGAAGATCCTGTTTCTATTATAGCCTCAAGCAGTATGGATCTGTTACTCACGTCTCAGTTGCCTCTCGACATGATTAATAGCATCTTCCTGCAGGTTTTATGAAAAGCAGCACATTTCAGCAATAAAGAAGATTGTGTGCTCATGTAGTCGGGCCTTAAGCCCAACTTTGGTCCCCAGCTTGCTACATATTAAAAATTACCCATCATTGTCATTTCAACTTGCATATATCCTACCTTTTGATCAACAGTAATAATTTTAGTCAAGGTAAACTAACTGAAGATTATTTTTTTTTGCCCTCCTTCTGACCAGACCTTTAACACTCAATACAATGAATAAAATGTAACCGTGTGCTATTGCCTAAAGAAACCATTTCTCTCTCAGGTCCTCCGCTCATCACCGTTGAACCTGTAGAGACGGTTATTGAAGCTGGTGCCACAGCGATGCTGAACTGCCAGGCAAATGGAGAGCCTCCTCCCACCATCAGATGGTCCCGCCAAGGTCATCCGGTCGTGAGCGACGAGAGGGTGACTGTGCTCTCTAATGGCTCCCTGCGTATCGTTGCAGCACAGAAGGAAGATACGTCTGAATATGAGTGTGTAGCGAGGAATCTAATGGGATCTGTTCTCGTTAGAGTACCGCTGACTGTCCAGGGTAGGTGCGCAAGATATGGGACAGGCACGATCAAACCAGGAGATTGCAGCATTAACTGAGAATTAATATGATCAAGATTTTATCTTATCCATATTTTACAGATAAGATATTTTATCTACTCTTCCATATATGCATTAGGTATATGTTAAGCCCAGTCTGAGGTATCAATGGGTTTCTGTTTCGTGAAATTTTGTTCCCTTATACTCATCCAGCTGTGTGAGACAGATGAGTGTAAAGAAGTGAGAGACATAAATAATAACAAAAGGACCGTGAACTAGATCCCATCCTCAGAACACGTATCATAACTTAATTGTACCGCTAAAGAAAAGCATTTAGGAGCGTAAGCAATAACTGTTTCAGAGCAGCTGAGGGATTCTCTGAACTGTCGGACAGTATTTCTGCAGGGAGTGAAGTGAGCTGGGTTTCCAAGGGCGGCTTATGAAGTGCATTTTTCTCTTTGCCATATCAGTCTGGGATTAGAGTCATAAGCACGAGCACGTCGTTAAAGAGAGCGTCG